AGGATTTCTAAATATGGACGGACACTGATATGCCATTGAATCAAACCATCATGAGGTCTAAACTAATCACCCCATCACATGACTCCCATATTCTGGGTCGACTTCCTGTCAGTCTTGTCTTATCTACTCAGAGGAGTTATGAAAACTAATTCAATCAGGAGATAACACCGATCTTTTGTATCAGGACTATAACCTGTAGATACCTTGTGATGTCTTGTGACCGCCAATGAATGGAACTATTATATCCAACAGGAAAAGGATGAGTAAAGTAACTGACGCCCTCAGGCCTGCAAACACGGGATCTATACGTGACTACCACATGACTTTTGACCATCTGCTTCCCTCCCTTCCTTTCTCTATTAACAGAGGAAATGCAGACTTACACAGACAATTCAAAAGACAATCATTTAAAAAGTATAAAAGGGGCAACTATATTCACAAATAATATGTTTTATGTCTTATATATGTTAGATGTGTTTCCTGTAATCGGTGCAAGTTTAAACAATGTTTTATAACCCCTTTTAGTAATTAAGATTATTAATGTGTATGCAAACTACCCGATATTGAGCTTGAATGAAAGCTTGTTTTATTCGCCAAACATTGGTGTTAGTGAAAATGTTATATTCGGTATCATTCTCTGGTGATAATCCTTTTATCAGAAGTTATTTAAAACTTCCAGAAATACTCCCCACGGGAGCATGTTATAAACGTTTCTGAGTTTAACTAAACCCAAAACTAGCCATACAACTTATTTGAAAAAGGTAACCTACTGCAATAACATAATCCATTTAACACAGCGTAAAACAAATCAGAACCTCTCATTGAATGCCAAATATCATATTTATATTTAGTAAAAAATCAAGTAAGCATAGCAACATTATTCTCATCAAATCAAAACACACAAAGAGAACCAAAATGTAAATAGAATTGAAGACAGATCCATGCCAATGTCCATGAATGATGAATTAGCTGCAATGGAGTGAATAAAGTCTTATCTGAATTCCAAGTTCCCACAATGTCCAGAGTATCCCCCATCCACATCCTCCAGCCAATTTGATATCTTAATCCCTTTTCATTTTGTACTCAAGCCTCAAAGGTCATGGAACAGCTGTACAAAGGTGATATTTGCCTGATGAATGGGAGACTATGTATGGTCAGAGACCATAATCCTCCATGGTAGCAGTGGCATATGGCAAGGCCATGCTTTAGCTTCTGCATGCCACATCCTCTCCTTCTACCATATGACTTGACTTATACAAAAAACATGTTGCCCTCTACTGCCCCCAGTGGTGAGGAAGATAACAAGTCCTATAACAGGCTTGTGACTGTTATATAGTGACTTGTGCACGAAAAAGGAACCACACAGGACGTGGCTAAGCCCTGCAACAGCGTCCGATTGGAAGATCGCGTCGTGGGGCGGACCAGAGTCAGCCTGCTTAAAAATGGACACAAATCCCTCGTGGCTCGCTCGCTCGCTCTCTCTCTCTCTAGAACTGTGGCTTTTCACCTTGGTGCCCGCGCGACAAAGCGCTCCCATGCTGTTACATCACAAGCGAGACTCCAAAACTCAAACACTTCAGTTGAAATTTGTGATTGCCAGAGATCTTCAAAAGCCTAAAGTCTTGCAAACTCAGACTTTTCAGAAGAACTGCTCAAGCCTCTGCATCATCAAGAAACCAACCAATCCCTGAAGGGCATTCCCAGAAACTAGGTCATCCAGACACCCGACCAGCAACCAATCAAAAGCCGGGATTCCCTCAAGCAGCCAACCAGGAAGCTTGTAATGCAAGTACCAGACAAAATCTTTTCATCTCTTGCTGAACTGGTGAATTGAGTTTTAGCAGTAAATGTAAGATAAATCTCTGCTTTGTGACTCTCTCAGGTTGAATTTAAAAGAACTCGTGGAAAACGAGTTAGAACTTTGGGAACTTCATACAAACTCCGCTAACTTTCATTCTTCAGAACTGTATGTGTGTGTGTGTGTGTGTGTGTTTTAGCTTAGTTTAATGTAATCTAGAATAGGCAATAAATTCTTGTTTCATTTATAAAGAAGTGTTGTCTGGTGTCGTGAAATTTTGTAAAGTTAAAATTCTGCCAAGATCACGTTACCTAGCTCGTACCTTATAACTTATTAAAAGCATGATTTAACCCGTGGCCAGGGAAAATACAAATATTCAAATTGTTAATATACACGAATGTTAACGTTGCGCTGGACGAGTCGTTGATAGTGTAAACTGTCAAATATAAAATCAGTTCTAATCAGGTCTTTTGAATAATTAATTTTATTGTAAAATTCAATGAGTTAAATTCCTTACATATGGTGGAGAAAATAGCTAGCAAAGATTTGGCTTTAAAAAATTAATGACACCAAGATATTATTGTGAATCTTTCCTATTTTTATCCGGAAGAATAGATTAGATGCAGAGAAACTGAGTTGTTGTGTTACTGGATACTTTTATTGTGGCATACCAGCATGTTGAATGAATGAAGTGAAACTCGAGTTGTGTTTAAAAACTGCAGTAAATAATTAACATTTAGATGTCATCTGCTAAAACAGATTAAGAATAGGAGTGAGCGAATTCCTCATTTCTTTCTTTTAAAAAGGCCTTCATAGTTTGATTTGTTGGTGCGTGTTCCACTTCCAAATTCATCTATGCTAGTAAATCTCCCGGGCTTGAGGCCATTAACTTAGCTAATTAAAGCTCTTGCCATTTATTCACTAAAAAACGTGAACTGCAGTAAATAATTAACATTTAGATGTCATCTGCTAAAACAGATTAAGAATAGGAGTGAGCGAATTCCTAATTTCTTTCTTTTAAAAAGGCCTTCATAGTTTGATTTGTTGGTGCGTGTTCCACTTCCAAATTCATCTATGCTAGTAAATCTCCCGGGCTTGAGGCCATTAACTTAGCTAATTAAAGCTCTTGCCATTTATTCACTAAAAAACTAGTGAACTTGAAACGCGGTGCTCAGAGAGTATCTGAACGCTATTTATTTTTGGAAGAATTGTGAAATCTTGATCAAGTAAGGATTGTGGTTAAATCCACGTGTGTTAGACTAAGTGCAGAGATCCGCCAAGATCTCAATAACATTGAATTAATTGCAGTAAATCTGTACATTAATTTACCTCACTCTAACGAGGTGAGATTGTTCAGCGCTGTAAGAAAAGATAAGAATCTATAGTGCTTTTTGGTTGTGTAGTGCGAGATGCGCTGACATCTCCTGCAATGTACTTAAACTGTGTATAACCATCGACTGTGTGTAGCACAAGCTAGTTATTACAAAGTACGTTGCCATAGTGACACCCGTAACCCGGAAGTTACGACAACCATTTTCTGGGGTAACTTTCAGTCCGCCAGCGCCATTTTTGAGCTGTTTGTAAACAAACAGCCAAGCATGAGCTAAGCTAACTGAAGCTAACGCTTTTGCATTGGAGCATATGCAAAGCTAGTAGCATTGAAGGCTAGTGGTTAGCACATAGCCTTTGGTGATTTTAAATGCAGTGTTTGAAGTGTTTGAAGTGTTGAAGTGTTGACTTGATCAGTTACATCTGAAACTTATCTTTCACTCTTTCATACTGATTTCATCCTATCTCTCTTCCTCTCCTCCCATTGAAAAGAACAGACAGATGCAAACTTTATAAACCTTATTGCAATGCGATTTTAACAAAACGTCAGATTAGCGATCCCACAATTGATTATAATCACGTTTGTTTAAAGGCTTGTCCCCTTCCCTTCAGTATGTTTACTCTTAGCAGTTTAAACGGCCATAGCTGTTGTTGTTTCATTTCGAAAATTGATCCTGGTCATGTGATTAATTCAGCTATAACTGTTCTTATAATATGAATGACATCCATAGATTTTACGAATTTAAGTAATTATGGATTTGAAATTTTAATTTAAATTTTAATTTAATTTAGGGTTAGGGTTAGGGTTATTTATTTCATAATTAATTACAGATTTGGAATTTATATTTCATTTCAAAATTTAATTTCAGTTCTTGCTTTCACATAGCAACAATATGTACTGATTCATTTAATTATAAATTGCTGTTATAATCTAATGACCACAACATTAGAATTTTTAATCATTAACTATCAATAGGGCTCTGAAATTTTTGATTGCATTCGTAAGTAATTGGGATGGTACGGATTAAGCTAATTATAATTGCCCTTATGATTGTAGGAACATCAGTGGGTATTAATAACTTGCTATCTTTAGGGATTCAAAGTTTCTAATTTAATTTCACAATTAATTACAAATTTGAAATTTTAATTTCAGTCAATAATTAATTACAGTTCCTGTTTCCATATTGCAACAATATTTGCTGATCAGTTCAATTGTAATTGCTCTGATAATTTTAATGACAAACATCATTAAGATTTTAATCCTTAACTGTCAATAATGCTCTGAAATATTTAATTTCATCTGTAGCTCATCAGGGTTGGGTTACCCTACTTCAAGGTAATTATTGCTTAATTTTAAATGTAATTGCTCTCATCAATTTTAATGATAACATCATTACATTTTAACCAGGAAATACCATTTCTTACTTGAAATTCTGATTTCATTTGCAATTAAGTTCTGTGTCTACCTGTTAGGCCTTCTTTCCTCTCTCCTTCAGTTATTTAATTTAGTCTGTTAGTGGCAAAACCCCAAAAGAAAAATTAGGGTTTTCCTCAGCACTTAGGTTAAGTTAGTTTTATCATGCTAACACAGCAAAACCAACCCCATAGGTCAGCGGTGGCGAACTCCGGTCCTGGAGAGCCGCAGCCCTGCAGAGTACAGCTCCAACCCTAATTAAAACTCACCTGCCTGTAGCTTTCTAGTAACCCTTCAGACCTTGATTAGCTTGTTCAGGTGTGTTTGATTAGGGTTGACGCAAAACTCTGCAGGGCTGCAGCTCTCCAGGACCGACGTTCGCCACCCCTGGCATAGGTGTATCAATTTAACAGCGCCACCACCCTGTCATTCTTCCTAACATTTGGGAGCAAAACTTCTCTCTCCTTCTTCTTCTCTCTCTCGGCTGTTTTCTTCTGAGTTGACTACTGCGGCTGTTTGCTGGGATTTTGCCTGTGAAAATCATAAAGCAGAGAACTTTAGCAATTGAACAGGTATTTGTGAAACTTGAGAACATCGTTTCAAAATTGTCTTCCATTTACCTTCCACTCTCTTGTGAAACCCTTCACAGCTAAGAGGACTGATAGGCATCCACCAAAATTTGAACACGCATCTAGGAACGATCTAATTGGTGGACGGTGTCAATCTTAACAACTAAAAACCCAATACTATAATTTTTATTGTTTTTCCTTCACCCGGAGGAATTTTAATAACAATCACAGTCCTGGTATTTAGAAATCCCCATTTCCGAACACCATTTCAACCATTTCAAACTTAACCAAAAGGGAAAAGAGAAGATAATTTAATTATACTAATTCTGCTACCAGAAAAGGGTATTTTGTTGTTTTGTCTTTCACTTTCATCTTACCATTAACTTTCTTACTTTACAAAAAAAAAAAACTTTCTTTTACAGGAAAATTGGAAGCAGCCAAATACTATTCTGTTCCTTGCTTTGTTTGTTATTTTTCTTTTCTCCCTCTGTTCTCTAGCTGTGCTACCTGTGTGTGCTTACTAATTTTCCCCACAGAGACTACAAATTAGAAGCACGCCCACCAGAGGATCACAGTCGCTGAGAGCTGCACTCACCTGTCCCTTACACACTCACCGTCAAACCACACTTGATATTGCACACTTACACCTCTGTTTTGCCTTGTTTGTTTTGTTTTCTCTTCCTCAAGGTCTGTGTCAGTCTAGGTTCTAGATCTCCCTCACTGTGCCAAAACATGTCTCGCACAACAGACTCTATTGGCCACTGGGAGGACCTCGAGACATGGCTAAGTGTTGCAACCAACAGCCTCCTACCTAAGGCCACTGAAACACTGAGGCATCAGACACAGGACCAGCTGCATGACAACATAGCAAGCCTCATGAGACAAGACCCAAGTCAGAGCTACAGTCACAAAGAATTAGCAAAGATCACCAGCTTCTTAAGCCACACACTCATTGCCACCCTCAAGCTGAGCGACAGGCACGCCGCCCATCTCCAGCAGGATTTAACACGTACACAACAACGCGTCGAGCAGCTAGAACTGGAGGCTCAGGAACGACAGGAAGGGCCTGATGAAGTGGAACAAGGCGCTGAGGAGGAGATCACTAGGCTAAAAGAGACCCTAGCAGCTACTACCCAAGAAATGGAACAAGGCAAGGCTGACTACGCTGATCTCTCCAACAAGCTACAATATGCAGAACAGCTCCTGGAAAAGGCAAAGGCCGACTTCAGAGACAAGAATGGTTGAGTTAAAGCCCTTGAAACTCACCTGGATGAGTCAAGAAATGAGATCAGTCGCCTAACACTACAGCTGGGCTACATCAAAGAGAAGTCCGACAACATCAGAGAGGAACTCAGACATGCCTACGAGCTGCGCCCTGGGCCTACAAAGACACGACGGGCACCAGTCTCACCCCTGCCAAGTAGGACCAGGGTCACCTGTTCCTCAACTGACACGTGAACAAAAGGGGGAGGGGGCAGTATCGAAACATTCACCAGCTCCCTCTGAAGAACTTTACCTCACGACAAAGCTAAAAGAACTTGCTCCAGCCAGCCACAGATCATCGCATGGCTTGGACCTCATAGACCTCAACAAGCTCACCAGAAACATTGGCAAATTCACTCCAAGTGTGCCAGGTAGCTAGGATGTCCAAGCTTATCTGCAAGACGTCGATTTCCATCTGGAAATGAGACCCAATGTCACTGACAAAGATAGACTCTATTTGCTCCGAACAACATTCAGCCCTGAAGCGCCCAGCTTCCTAGACCGGCAGCCTGCTCACACAAAAACTGATTACCACCTGCTCCGAGAAGCCCTCATTAAAGAATTTGCCAACCCTGAGTCAGAACAAGGACTAGTGGCTGCCCTGGAGACGACACAAGGACGTCATGAATCTCCTCAAGCCTACTACAGCCGACTCAGACGTGCGTACTTCGGAACTCGCAATGAACCGGACATGGAAGATGATCTGAACTTCAAAGCTCTCTTCCTGAGAAACCTCCATCCTGGAGTAAGCCACCATCTTGGCGTTCTCGCAAGTCCGCGAACAACGAATGCTCAACAGTTGCGAGTCTTGGCTCATAAAGCTTACGGCAAACAGAAGATGGCCTCAGAAAATGGCGCCAAACCCACAGCAGTTCTTGACTTCAACACTCAAAGTCAGGAGCTGGCTCTCGAGGGCGCCCAACATCAAGACTATGCCAAGCCACCACACAAAGAGTGGAACACACCCTCGTCCAACAGAGAACGGGACTCCCACGCTGGTACCCGACCTAAACAGAAGAACAACCGCTGGGATGGACTGCGTGGACGACAACACTCACCTGGACGTCACTGGGGAAAATCTTGGGACCAATCCAGACATTGGAATCAATGGGACACATCATGGAATCAGCCAAACTCATTTGGAAACTCAAGAGGAAAAGGCTCGTGGGAATCCAACGGAACCTCCAAGGGAAAACGACAAACACACCCTGGAGCAACCAGTCCAAGGAATCAACGAAGGAACTCGCAAAGATTCCAAGCTGACCGAGCTCAAACTGAATCCACACAAGAACAAAATACACTACAGTGTTTCGACTCACAAGAACTGATGGAGACGATGATGAAAGATTTCTTCCACCGAAAGGAGGAGGACCAGAAGTGGGAAAATAAAGAGAAACCAGAGTCAGCCTGACTAGCAGCAGGAAGAGAAGGCAGCGAGCCACAGAGAACCGTAACTTCAGATGGACAAGAAATCCTACCTGAACAACTAGCAAAACAGTCAGAAACTGACCCAACACCTGATGCGTCAGATCACAGTAGCGTCCAACAAACACCTGCTGATGAAACCACTGAAGTTCCTCAAAGTGCTGTCTTGGTCGTCTGCCACTCCTCCGATGAACACCAGATCAGTCCTGACATCCTACCTGTCTCATCCCAAACTCCAGTCCCTCAACTACTGGGCGACCTCATTGAGAAAGGTATAGCAAGATAGTTTTACCTCTCCATCATCATCGAACGCCACATCAAAGTCGAAGCTCTTCTTGACACAGGAGCCGACATCACTCTAATGTCAACTGAACTCCTTGAAGAAGTCCAAGAAAGAACAAAGAGGTCTAATAGCACCCTCAAACTTCAAAGGAGCTGAACCTTCAAGCATATTCCCACACAGGCCTACAGCTAAAACATATGGCCCCAATTCACCTAACTGTGGGACTGATGGACCTCGTTCACCCAGTACACGTTTCACCACTCAACACGTATCCACTCCTCATTGGAAAAGAGCTACTTAATCGCTTTGAACCCTTAATTGACTTCAAGCAACTAAAGATATGGACGCAAGTCCATGAGCCTCTACCCCACATACCAGTCTAGCTAATGTCAGATGAATATGATGACACAGTAATGTTCACAAGACCCAATGAAACCATTGCCATTACTTCTATTCTGCTAGTGCCCAGAGAGAGCATCTGCCGATCAGAAATAACAGACGACACTCACCTCGCAGTCTACACTGTCTCAACACAGCCCGTGACAGAATCACCTGCACAGGTGACCATCAAGGCACAGAGCCCCTTGAATGACTCAACCATGGAGGAACCCTACACCGGGTTCGGTGCACAAATCCAACAGATCCTGAGTGAGGCGGATGCCCTCCACAAGGAAGCAGATCGCCAAGGACTCAAAGAGGTTCTGTACATGTACAAGGACTCCTTCGCAAAGGACTCCCTGGACTGTGGCCTGACCATCATCCACAGTGTGCGCATCCCGACAAAAGAGGTTCTGTACAAGTACAAGGACTCCTTCGCAAAGGACTCCCTGGACTGTGGCTTGACCAATATCCACAGTGTACACATCCCGACAAGCCTAAATGCACCACCCACATTTGTGTAACAATACAAGATTCCAATAGCGTCATATGAGCCAGTGTAAGAAATTGTTGACTCCATGCTGGAAAAGGGGGTCATCTGGCCCTGTAACAACATGTACTCTGCCCCGATATGGCCAGTTCTAAAGCCCAACGGCAAATGGTGGCACACTATCGACTATCGCAAGTTGAACCAGCAAGTACCCTTGTCACGATGGCCTATGACCCAGTTGGATCAAGAAATTCCAAAAATCAAAGGCTCGACGATCCTTTCCACACTGGACGTCACCTCCGGGTTCCGGACAATCCCTGTCCACCCCGATGACCAACACAAGCTGGCTTTCACCTTTGGCAATCGACAATACACCTTCACACGGTGCCCCTTTGGCTATGTCAACTCACCAGCAGAATTCAACATCTTCCTGAACAAATCATGCCCTGATGCCAGAACGAGAGGCAACCTTGTTTACGTGGATGATGTTCTTCTGAAAAGCTCAAATGTGGCAAACCACCTCAAAGATATCAATCACGTCCTGAACCAGCTGACAACAGCAGGAGCAAAGATCGCCCTCCACAAAGGACAATGGTGCAAAACCAAAGTGACCTACATCGGCCTGCTTATCGGACGAGACGGCATCGAACCACAGTCCAGTCGCACCCAAGCAATCCAAAACATAAAGACACCAACTAACACTTCTGAGCTACGAAGCTTTCTGGGAGTGTGCAATTATTCAAGACAATTCATTGAAAACTACGCTGACATCGCACGACCACTAACCTCCCTCCTGAGAAAGGACGAACCCTTCGTTTGGTCGGAAGCCCAGGACACAGCTATGAGCGAGCTCAAACGATGTCTGTGCTCGGCCCAATGCCTGGCCTACCCAGACCCAGGAAAAGAGTTCTATCTGGACATTGGATTCTCCAATCACTGCCTCAGTGCAGGCCTGTACCAGCTCCATGACAAAGACAAGGTCATATCTAGGAAACGGGCTAGCCTGCCAGAACGGTTCAACGGACATGCTGCACACAGCAGCAGAACCCAAAGAACCGTTAGCGCCACAACTGACAAACCACAGGTACTTCGAGGAGAATGTGTGGGAAAGGATGCCCACAGC